CTATGACCGTTTCTTGGAGTCATTCAAAGCTCAGGTGAAGAATGTCTCTAAGGTCGGTGATCCGTTCGAGGAATCCACCTTCCAGGGCCCGCAAGTGACCCAGGCTCAGTATGACCGCATTATGTCTTATATTGATGTTGGCAAGTCTGAGAAGGCCACTCTGATTGCTGGTGGTAAGCCTTTCACTGGGGTTGGTGATGGCAAGGGTTTCTTCGTTGAACCTACTGTTTTCACTGATGTTACGCCCAAGATGCGTATCTACCAAGAGGAGGTCTTCGGTCCTTTCGTGGTGATTGCCCGATTTAGCGAGGAGAAGGATGCTATTGAGATGGCTAATGACTCGACTTATGGCCTTGGAAGTGCTCTGTTCACGACAAATTTGACTCGTGCCCATCGCGTGGCTAAGAAGATCGAGGCTGGTATGGTCTGGATCAACTCTAGTAATGATAGCGATTGGCGCATTCCATTCGGTGGTGTGAAGCAATCCGGTATTGGTCGGGAACTTGGAGAGGCTGGTCTTGCTGCTTACTCAAATACCAAGGCTATTCATGTAAACATGAAGTCTAAGCTTTGAGAGACATTATTCAAATGGTGTTCGAACGAGAAGGACACATTACATTGTACATAGCAAAATTAAAAATTCGAAAAGGGCATTTCGAATTCCTCGTTATGATATAGGGATAGTAAGCATTTCCGGAAGATTCGGTGTTAGCAAGTAGATAAAACGAAGGTTTGTCTCGAGGTGACCCTTGCTGCATATCAAATTGAAAAGGGAGAAGGGCGAGCTCTCGGACAGCCTACTGCTCAGTATTTTACCAACTGACTCCAACGATTCGCCCTGCTCCGATCTAGCCTCCTTCCCTTCTGCATCATCATTCTTGCCTGCATATTCCGCAATGTATCCACGATCCACCATCAAGATAGGATATGTAATCTGCATACAAATACGTTACATTTACAGTCCCAACTATACGACATCATGGTATCATATCCCAGGCGTGTACAGTGCCCTGGTAACTGCAATTAGAGCCCAATCCGCGGAGAAGGTTAACGTTCTCCTTGATTAGGAGCAAATCTGGACGTATACAAAATCACATCATTTGAGGCCTGGCAGGCGTTGTTTTATAAGTATTTGTCTAAACCAAATGAATGCTATTTTATATACACGTAGCATCCGTGTCTATATATATTCCACTAATCGCCACGCATAATTGCAAAATTCGATAAAAGTCTCGACCAACTTCATTGAAGTAAACCTCTCATCGATCTTCCTTTTTTGGCTCAGGTAGCAGATCATTTGCAATCGCATGGGCTTGAATAACATGAGGAATCGACTCCTCGGTGTTGAGATAGGTGCGGCTGCCCTGGACGAACCAGAACGACACAGCAATAACGAGCATGACTCCGAACACACCAATGGCGTAATTCATATCACCACCCGAGGGGTTGGGTGCGCCAGGGAAGAAGAAAAACACAGTTGTCACACAGCAATAGACAAGGGAGACCCAGTTTGCCGGTGCACCCAGCCTCCCAAGTTTGAACTGCCCACCAAGCGGGAGCTTGTCGCGGCCCATCAGGAGCAGAGTCATGATAGGGAGCCCATATGAGATGGTCAGGGCGATGGTGCTGACGCTGAGGATTGCATTGAGCACTGTCTCCGCGAATAGGAATAAAACTCCAACCAGTGCTATGATAGCCCCCTGGAACCAGAGTGCCCTGACGGGGGCTTTCCAGTAAGGGCTCACCTCTGATAGGTAGGTACTAAAGGGAAGTCCACCGTCGCGGGCAAAGCCCCAGGTCAGGCGGGAGGCGGTAGTGACGATGCTGATCCCCTGACCTAGGCCGTTCGTGATGAACAAGGCAATTAGCACTGCACCGCCGGTCTGGCCCACCGTTTCTTGGACGAGTTCCATGAATGGTAGGCCGCTCGGAGAGTCTACCACTGTATTCACCTTTTGAATACAGAAGAGACAGACCATCATCAAGACAAAACCGCTCACTGCTCCAGAGATAACGGCGAGATATATCACTTTCGGGGCGTTTTTTCGGGGTGCAGGGATCTCTTCCACCAAGTGAATCACGGCATCAAAAGCAGTCAACCCATATGCAGCCTGAACGAGACCAATAAACCACACAACACCATCGGGCCAACCAGTTTGGTTGATCCACTTTCCAAAGGCGAAAGAGGCGGGCTGGTAGGAGAGACCTTCTTTTGTTCCCACTGAAATAAGCAAGGCAAGGCAAAAGACAAAAAATAGTCCAAAGAACCAGACTCCGACAAAGTTGTTCAGCCACGGTAGGAATTTCTCCTGCCGACAGCCGATCACATTGACTAGTGTGAGGACAAAAACACAGGCAATATAAACCACGAATTCAAGCCACCCCTTCGACGCACCAGTCCAGCCTGGACTGAACATGACCTTCATGCCGAGAAGGAAATTGGTCATAAACGCCACCTGGGAGGCGGCCAATGTCCACCACCCAAAAACATTGATCCAAGCACACATGTAGGAGAGGAACCGTCCAAAGCGTGAGTCCCAAAGACGGTAGACCCAATACGCCTGTCCAAGGGCAGTGGGCATGCTGCTACAGATCTCGCCCAGCGATAGCGCAACACAGGTGTTGCAGAATGCCACAAGAGCCAGTCCCCATAGGATCGAGACGGGACCGCCGTTGACCAGGCCGTCAGAGAGATCCTGTGCAAAGGTAGACCATGTTCCCAGCACGCAAAATGCTAACGCTAGCATGCTCCAGATGTTAAACTTGCGGGCGAGCACTTGCTCATGGCCGAATTCGGCGAGGTCTTTGGCATCTTGCGTGGTTTGGTCTGTTGGTTTGAGGGTTGCTTCGGTTTCCACATCCATTGTGAGGAATGGGAGGATAGGGAATGGGGATGAAGGGGTCTTTAGAGTGGTCACTCTAAGGTCATTTCCGGACAAGGTAATTGATATTGCCGCGAAAGCGAAGCAATTGTCTCCGGGGTGTATACTATATGCTCCTTCTGAAGACGATATCCGGATCCAAGAACGGGGTCACTGGAGCAGTTTGAGAAACTGGATGTCCCGCATCCCCATCCACGAGATCCGGGGGTCGTCATTCTTTTCCGGGGAACCCCGTAAGTGTCGGCCTCTGTAGCCATAGAGAGCGGTATGTCCACTGGATATTCACCGAGCGTGGCCCACATGGTGAATCCGAAACTTGGAGGCAGACACAATTAGACGACACCTTGCAGAGGTCTGTGTAGAGCTCCAGTTTTTTTTTTGGCTCTGTACCCCACATCCCACGAAGGCTGAAAATTCCCTTCCTGGAAGGTACATGCGGGCTTTTATGGGGTACTATTGATGATATCAATGGTATTTGGAGATCTGATGGATATCCCACTCGAGGGATTGCCGGGGAAGTTGGTGTGAAGCACAATTCTGTGACACACATCAGGCTGGGTTTTACTGGGTCGTGCAGAAGACTACCGAGGAACATAATTTACCTCCTGGTGAACCAATTCGTCATTCCAGGCGTATCACTAGCAAAATGCTTGGTTACGCAAGATTGAAGTCTTCACTGAAGTTTTGGGATCTACATCATTCAGGCTGGAATCTCGCCTGTTTATGTTTTATGCGACTATGCCGTAGATGTCTGTGCGGAATCTGGGCCGCAGCGCCAAGATTTAATAGGGGCTGGTACCAAGACTTATAGAGGCCAGGGTTCAAACCCCTCTTTATAGATGATTTGATGCCTGAATGCCTGACTTTAGAACAGCAGAAAAGTTAAAATACCTGAATTTCTGTTACAGATGTCTTAGTAATCATACAGTGACTGACTCCCCTTCTACTACTCCGTACCGCCTTCCCAATTAATCATACCGCCCTTTTCCCCTTAGGTTTTATTGGTGGATATCCAGCTGGAAGAACCCGCGGGTTCATTTAAATTAATTCCTCTATACATGGACAAAACCTTAATCTGTCAAATCCTCTTCGTTTTTTGACACTTGCAAATTTGTCCAAAAATATGGGGATGCTGCCATTTGTGTGTAGATGAAAAGCTTCAATTTTGACACTTGCAAACCTCCAAAAAAATGGAGATGCTGCCATTTGTGTGCAGATGAAAAGCTTCATTTTTGACAGCTGGAGTATCAATAAATTTACCATACACTGTGTGGAGCGGTGCAAAAAGCGGTGCTAAATAAGGCACCCAGGCATCAACTCCCACCTCCAAAAGGGGTTTTGAACCCACTAGAAGTTTTGGTAGGGCTGGTGCGATACCAATTCGATTTGGTGTAATTATGTACGCTCTGCATGTGTACTTTGTGGCAACACGTCTAAACGCCATTTACGCAGAATGTCCACTAAGGGATGGATAAAAAGGGCTTGGTATTGGGGCTGCTTTGTTAGGTTTACAATGCCCCGTTGTGTCCCCCCAATACCCCACGGTAGTGTGGGGCTAATTTCTGGGGTAGCTCCACTCGACCACGGAATAGCCTTACACTCCTCGTTTGATTACTGTGGCACTACCTGCATCCGCGGCATGCTGAACCAAGGCCGCCTAGATAAGAATTGCCCTAACCTGAACCACCAGAGTGGCCGCAAGAATACACACGAAGGCATTCACCGCCAACTCATCCGAGACTGAAACCGTGGGTTTGAACAATCGTACAATCGGACGGGCTACTTGCGACACTAAGTGAAGAGGACCTGAAATAATTGAAGCGTCCTCAGGCCCTTGAACCAGTGTCTGGCAATACCAGCATGTCCGTCCCGTAAAGGCAGGAAATCCTGACGAAGGCTCCAGTCCAGCTACAATACTATCATGCACACACCTTTCGATCGCGAGGCGTAAGGAAACATGTTCTAAAATTTGGCCACCACGTAGATCGGCTACAATTCTAGAAATAAGCTGTTGTGAGAACGAGCGATCGCATGTTCTGCTACTGCCTGAAGAATCGAAGAAATGTGATCTCCAGTCTGATCAATCAGTTCCTAGTGGTATGTTACCGCTCCATGCTCTCACAGCTTTTGATCAATTACCAGGTCATCTTCCAGATTGTTCTGATTCTCTTGAATATTATGTAACTCGAACCGGAGCTCGTTGATGGTGTCCTTCAGCTTGGCGCTTTCCTCGGCACTTTCGTAGGCTGACTTCTGCATCTGTGCTTGTAGAGCTTCGATATAAAAGTCTTTATGCATCAGAGCTTGTTCATGTTGACTCCGGATGTGCTTCATCTCAGCCTCGCGACTTGACAGCGTGCTATGAGTGGTTCTGAATTCATGTAGTAAGCGATTGATATCCGGCATAGAGGACTTGAGTCTTTGGAGAAGATTGACATGTTCTTCGTCATTTTCGGAAGGAGAAATGGACTTCCCGGAGCCAGGCTCGCTGCTCTTGTCTAGTTTGGGCACCGTGGCCTTTCCTTCATCCCCACCACTCGATAATGTGCTATGAGTGATTCCATATGCATGTAGTAAGCGTTCGATATTCGGGATAGCGGAATTGATCCATTGGAGACGCTCGATATGTTCTTCGTCATTTTCGGAAGGAGAAATGGACTTCCCGGAGCCAGGCTCGCTGCTCTTGTCTGGTTTGGACACCGTAGCCTGTCCTTCAGCCCCGCCACTCGATGGCGTGCTATAAGTCATTCCGTACTCAGGCGGCGGGGTATTGAGATCTAGGATAGTGGACTGGCTGCTTTGGAGAAGCTCGGTATGTTCTTCCTCATTTTTGAGAGGAGAAATAGACTTCCCGGAGCTAGGCCTCCCCTTGATCTGATTCTCTTGAAGATTCTTTAACTTGAGCCGGAGCTCGGTGATGGTGTGTTTCAGCTTGGCGCTTTCTTCAGCGCTTTTGTAGGCTGACTTCTGCATCTGTGCTTGTAGAGCTTCGATATAAAAGTCTTTATGCATCAGAGCTTGTTCATGTTGACTCCCGATGTGCTTTATCTCAGCCTCGCGACTCGACAGCGTGCTACGAGTGGTTCGGAATTCATGTAGTAAGCGATTGATATCCGGGATAGCGAGCTGGATCCATTGGAGAAACTTGATATCGTCATCATAGTTATCATCGTCAAGGTCGTCCTCTTGCTGGCTGAATGATTTTGAGCTCCTCTCCAGTGCCTCGAGTGAGTCTTGTGTAGCTTCAAGATCAAAATAGTCGTTATTTTCGAAGTATTCGGCCACTTTCCCTTCCTGCGATATCTGGGCGTTATCCCATTGCGAGAGCTGGAGACGACTCATCTCACCCAGTTCTAAGTCCGCCAACCACTGAAACATACTTTCACACTTGACTGATTCCACATTATACGTCCCAACGTATCTGGACTGACATGGAGGCTGACCCATCCACGGAAGAGAACGCAACGAGAAGTCATGTATACAGTTTAAAACGTGCCTAATGAACTCAGGATCCGATTCTGGTCCGGTGGAGTCGCAGAGTGGACAGTGGGTGACACCGATAGTGACGACGCCGGAATGAGACATCACAGCCATCATTAGACTTTCAGATACCGTTTCCGCATGCTCTACTTGAACATGTTCCAGAAAGGCTTCCATGCTCAAGAATATGGTGCTCATATCCTGACAGAAAGGACACAGACGCCGGGGTGGGTGCTTATTCTTGACATGATTCTCCCAATCGCTTTCGGTAACATAGGTAGCAAATGGAGTCGGGCAGTCCTCGAGAAGGCAAGTGTAAGGGCTAATATCCTCTGAGAGGTGTTTTCTATCAAATACCATTAGCATTGTGGACAGGCAAGGAAAGGCTCGGAGACATTAAGTACTTCCATCGCGTCCCGTCCAATGCAACTTCCACGGGTAATGTTTGGCAACAGCAGGGGCATTTAAACATTGCCAACCCTTCCTGCGCTTTCGGAGGCCTGGGATACCGTACTGCAGCTGCCAGGGTGGTGATCGTCGTCATCGCCACCTGTGATGATTTCCTCTTCACGCGTTGAGCATTTAACTTGCTCTCGGGGATGGATGCTGATGTTCCAGAAATAGTCGGTTCGACGGGGAAAGTGGAACCTAGTTCGTGGCCAGACTGCTGGTTTGCCATGTCTACCTGTTCTTCCTTCGTCGATCTTTCTGTATCATCTCCAGACCGCTCGAGCCTATCGTGAATGCTTCCTCTTTCGCCCCATTGAAGAGATTTTAGTCCTTCTGAATGTCTTTGAGCTTGCAGGAAACGATTTCTGCGCCGCAGATTTGTCTGCAAAAGACGTTCTTGGGGGCTAGAGAGCTCGGTTGACTTCAATTCCATCACACGTCCATCCGTTGACATATCCTTAAGCCTGGCCAAGACTTCATCGGGCTTGTTGGCCCCCAGCATATAGAGGCACCAAATCTTCAGCAATAATGCCAGCTCTGAGGGGTCCTCTGGGTCAAATTTTCGATCAGCCTTTTCAAGTCGCGATCGCCGACCAGTGCGACGAATAGCCACCGCCAGCAACACCAGGTTCTCGAGCGCAGAATCCACGTTTTCAATGGCCTCGTCGATGAGGGCGCCGCTTTCCGCGCAGTGAACGCACTGGTCGAGAAAGTCTTGCAGCATTACAAGAGTCCCTTTCACCAAGGTGAGCTCGCTTGGCTGCGACTGAAACCGACTATCGAGGGAAGCGCGCGATGCAGCCAACGCCCCAACCCCGTCTGCCCAAAGAGTGAAGTCGGCACATCGATTTTCGGCCCATTGGTTTTTCTGGAGGCCGTGATGAGTGAGACACCGGTTGAATGCAGATCGACATGTTCTGGTGAGATCTGCCACGGATCGCTCATTAAGATCCATCTCCAAGGGGCCGAGAGGGGACCAAAATGAAGTTAAGGAAGATGGGATGAAGAGACCAAGATCAAAATATTGTTGAGTCACTTAAGTGTTATTCCTCCGGTGTGGCTGGATGCGAAGGTTGGTTTATCAGAGGGTCCTCCATAAATCGTGGTTTGCGTTGGGAATTTTGAGGCCCAAAATCGGCTGACTTGGAGACGATGGGTTCGGTGAAACAAAGGAGCCGATTGATTCCATTGGGTCTGTCGCAGTGCAAGCGCTGTTACCCCGCAGCCCACAAGAATACATCAATACACCCACATCGATACATATGTACACGCTCAGATACCTTCAAGCTCGACCTTCTGATTGCCTTTCAAGCAATGTCCTCATCCTGATGGCCAACACCTCAATGCAGCGACACGACTGGATCCACCAGGTGGGCTTGGTCGCCTTCAACTATGGCATCCAACGGCGATCGAAAGATGCTGGCGATTTGGGGGTAAGGCTGTGCCTCGTCTCGGAAGCTTTGAAGAACGCAGATCCGGGCGAGCTTACAGAAGAGGAGATCCAAGAACTGTCAGAAGTGATCCGTGAACTGGAATCCATTTCGAAAGTATTGCATACAACTTCCATAGAGAGTTCCATAGGTAGACGCTGACGGAACTTCCTTAATCATAGTGCAACACCTGGCCTTCGGAGCCCGATCGAACACAAAAGGTGCGGCAAAATATCGAGAGCTTTCTGGGAGGCTCAAAGAAAGACCGAAAAACAAGATTGGTGATCAAAACCGATCGCCTTTTGCGGAAACTCCAGGCCTATGAAAGTCCTGTCCAGCTATTTGCGAAAGCCCCCAAACAGGCGCGGGGTGAGTACCCAGAGCATATCAAAAAGAAGCTCCTTTTAGGCTTGCGGAGGCAATCCCGTTGTTCCCAGTGTTTGGCCGGTGCCGGGGATCAAAGCAGCTCGCGGTGGCATCCGACCAGGTTACTTCTCAAGAACGGGCTCCAACAGGATCAAAATAGCGCGTCCTTCGACATCGTCGTATCTTCTGATCCCATTGACTTCTGGCAGGATATTTGCCTAAGATTACCTCTGTACCACTCTCCTTGGAATTCCCCCTTCCCCTTTCCCAACCCACCCTTGGAAGATAGGTGCTAATGTGTCTTAGTGATGCGAAGCGGGTTCTACGATTTGCTGACGAAGATCCTCCCCGGCCCATTGACCGGCATGGGCCAGAGGCAGCGGGTTTCTGTGGTCTTTTGAGTTGTAGGACTTTTGCTCGCATCTGCTTTGACTTTGAGGATAGGCAATTTGTACGCGTGCAAGACGGCTTTCGTCTGCAGCAGCGACCCTCCCCAGGTGTCGGTATGTCGCTTCCTCATGTCCTGCAGGAATACTCTCTCGAAGTGAAGGACAAAATTTCCTTGGCCTACATCATAACTTCGGCGTTTTGGCAATTCTACGATACCCAGATACTACGGCACAAATGGACAAGCGAATCTATCCTTTTCATGCCGGAGGAAGTCGGCCACACGCAGCGACTCCCCAACAAGGCATACATCTCAATCCAATTCGAATCGGGGAGGGAACAAACTGATGAGTATTTGGATGCGGACTTTTTAGTCCACCGTTTTCCTCGAATTCTCTCCTTTGCCGTAATATTGCTGGAGATTGGCCTTGGCAGATCGCTTCGACTGCGACAGTTTGATAGCCCTGTTGCCCAATTCAACTCAGATTTCGAAGTTGCAAGTCAAGCCCTGGTCGATTTGCGCGAAATGTCTTGGACCAACTTTGCCAACAAGGACGTCTACGTAAAAGCCATTGAGAATTGTCTAGAAAGCAACCATTATAGGATACAACAGGCAGCAAACGGTCCGACCGATGCTGCGACCTTGAGCCATTTGAATTCTGATTCTCGAAGGTCTGTTGATATTGATCAAAGACGGAAGACATTTTACAACAAAGTGGTTTGGCCTCTCCAGTGGCTGGCAGAAACTGGATTCCAGGGTAGTTACAACCAGGTCACCTTCTTTTCCGAGAGAACAGAGCCCCAGCCTTCAGCCTCACAATCTCCTACACCAAATCATGTTCAATCGATGCCTATGCCTTCATTCCATGCAGGCAGCCTGATAAATTCTCACGGTTGGCTCGACCACTTGAAACAAATCAACCAATACATTCACCGTACGCTCCACAAGCGACCCGCTAGTTGCAAATGTATTCGCATTGCTATCTTAGATACTGGATACGATCTGTCGGCTCCATTTTTCCAGGACCACAAGCGGTTGAGGCGGGTGAAGGGGTGGAAAGACTTTGTTTCTGCATCGAAGACTCCTGTTGACACTTTTGGTCACGGCACGTTTATGGCAACATTGGCGATAGAGTCCGCACCCGTTGCCGAGCTTTGCATCGCTCGGGTGGCCGAAAACACTGACAAGCTGACACACAGCCCATCACGAATTGCGGATGTATGGTTTTTTTCCCTCTCCCCTGTAACAATCAAGGTGTTTTAGATTCGATTTTGTTTCGGTACTGACGCAAATAGGCTATCCGTTGGGCAGCTATCGAGCAAGAGGCAGACGTCATCTCAATGTCGTTCGGGTTCCCAGGGACAAAGAGGAGATCGCCAAAGCGATCGACGAGGTTCGAATCAGCCGTAAAGGCAAAATCATCTTTCTTGCCAGTGCCGGGAACTTCGGGCCGTATCAAGATGACACCTTCCCCGCGAGTCATCCGGCTGTGATTGCATTTCGTGCGACGACATCACTAGGAAGGTTCCTAGAAACCAACCCGACCAATGAAAATGCGGTCGTATTTGGAACATTCGGCGATGATATCCCCCAAAGGCTTCGCGAATATCGATCCCAGGTCTGCCAGCCTGGCACTTCGGCAGCTACAGCCATTGCAGGTGGGATTGCAGCAATGATACTTTCCTACGTCACAGTTCTTCCAATGTTAGTGACATGGGAGGACAAAGTAGGTCTACTATCGATGTCGTGGACGACGGAAGGCATGCAGAAATTATTCCATAGGATGTCAGACGACATGGGCAATCGGAAACGGTTCTTGAACCCGATCAAGTTCTTTTCAGACCGGCCCACGGACCTAGCCAGATATTGTGCTATTTATGATTGCCTGCAGGGGAAATGATTTTGGTACAAATAATAGCGGAGCAATCGGGAAGAAAGGCACCATAACAACTGATAAATGAAAGCTAGCCATCTAGAACTGTAAACCTATCTTAGTAGCGAGACAGGCCATACTCTGAGATAGACTTTATACATTCGAAAAAAATGAAATCAAAGTTCTATTAACCTGTTAAAGCGTAAATATTGAAACACTGGCTATACAGGTCTTATTTTTGGATGTCTAGATTAGGATCTAGGTACGTGTCCCTAGATTTTGTCGATAACGACTTTCCAATACCTAGCCAAAGAATGTCAAATTGTAAGTTTCTTTAGTGAACCCGAGCGGTGGCCGTTTGCAACAGAAACAGATACTCGATCAGCTCATTCACGGAGGATTTATCGAAAAGATATGCACACATCCATGTTCCCAACACTATGCTCACTAAATGCTTCATCCTCATCCTCAAGGTCATCTTTCAATTCCAGCATATCAATATCGGCGATCTCCATTTCCTCCTCCTCCTCAATGCCACCCGTCATGAATGCCGTCTTATGCGAGAAGATCTCGGACTCTATATCCCTGTCCCTCCTCTGTCGAATGACACTGAGCCTGTATGCAAAAATAATCCTCGGGGCCGCTTCATAGGAATGCACCTTGTCTCTCCTCATCTCCCCTTGCAAACCAACCCCAAGCTCCACCGGCATCACACCAGCAGGTACCGGACCGGAACCACCGATCCTTCCTCCGTGTGTCGTGCCCTGTCCGTTTGTCACACTCATCCCTGTCTTGGTGATCCGAAGCCCAGATACAATGTACACTGGTTGTTTACCCCAAAGACCATCGTCTATATGTTTTCGCACACTAGGCTGCGACACGATAGCTGCTAGGGTATCTCTCGTGAAGGGCCGCACAAACGAATGGACCTCATGGTCGACAACACCATACTGGATCTCCTTCCCCCATTCTGTATCCAGCTTCAAGGACACGGACGCTAACTCGACGAATTTGCCCCAGATTTCCCCCCGATCGAGTTGCTCCGGTTGTCAGTGTGGATATGATTAGGCTCCACCAGGGCTTGGACTGGGGGCAATTTAATCGGGGGAGTCGTTGTTGAGATCTCATCGGGGCCTAGGAGAACTAAGGTGGGGTGTTTTGGGTGGGCGATTACTGTACCCAGTTTGATGAGGCCGTTCTCTAGGAAGGTGAAATCGGGTGGGAGGAACCATGTCTTTTTGGGGCCCATTGTTTCGGATTTGATATATATATAGTGGATATATTTGCAAGCAATGTTTGTGTACGATGGAAATCTAGGTCCAAGCCTGGTTTATCGCGTGCACAGCCAACTCAGTCTCAGGTGAGGGGTTACACGTCAATCGCCATTCGGCCATGAAGAGGGGAAGGACACATTAGCGCTTAAGGGCGTCCAGGATATCCTGTCGTAGATGCCTGATTCCTCAGGCATGATTATTAGGCTGCCATACAAATGAGGTATCTCCATGTTTTCTAGTCGCAGGTGCTTTTCACCTCCACACAAATAAACCCCGGGTTCTGCCAGCTAGATATCCACTAATAAAAGCTAAGGGGTAAAGGGCGGTATGATTAATTGAGAAGGCGGTAGCAGAATGGTGTTAACACTTTTGCGGAGTCACTGTATGATTACTAAGGTATCTGTAATAGAAATTCAAGTATTTTAATTTTTCTGCTGTTCTAAAGTCAGGCAGTAAGGCAGCAAACCATCTATAATGGTTGATTTGAACCCTGGCTTCAGTGTCCAATCAGTAAGCAACACTAATACACTTAACTAGCCTACTTGTAATTTCATTCATATAATTAGACGAACGTATGTGCGACGTTCATGCTTTTTGATGTTCGACATATGTACATTGCACCAGTTTTCCATCACATTCGAATCTGCTTCGCCTATAAGACACTCTCCATGGATATCTCAGCACAATACAACCGGCGTTCACCAGAAACCACTGAGGCCTGGATCCTTGGAAGTAGAACTGCATCTCTAGGATCAGCAGTTTACCTGATAAAGAAGGCTCATTTACATCCTGCTGTGCATATGCTCGATGAACACTTATCCTTGCAGCAAACATTGCATGATCAAGGTAGTACGCATGCAGGATACGATCAGTTTGCAGGGTGTCTCCCTGCTCCTGTTGGAACGGCGTTGACAGAGCTTCTCCAATGATTCCATCCGCAGTGACAGAAGGCCGCTCTTATCTCTATGACCTCCGAGCAGAGGGGGACAAAATGCTATGAACAGAAAAGGGGCCACCTGTTTTATCGCTCAAAATAAAGGAGCTTTCAAACACCTGCCTATGAAGTCGTTGAATATTAAGTGGCACCACATAATACATCTAATGTGTCTTCTGATGAAAAGGGAGAAAAGCCTACAAAAAAAGGAGATACGTATTCTTTCTAAGAAAGCTTTTTTCGGAGTACACTGTGGACGATATGGTCGACACGGTGAGTACTTGCACGACCCAACGCATTTATTCCCCAATTTAACTTCTAGTATGCGAATCCTACAGATTCGGCTTTCAGACCTAATACAGCGCCACATAATTCAGGTATATTGTTAAGCAATATTTATCCGGCTTCCACAGCTTAGATATTTTGAGCTGCTTGGATCTCACAGGCTATTATCAATACAAGTCGATAAATCTTCCTATATATTTCTTTCTCCGGAGTCGGGGCATAGATCTTCAGTTCGATACCAAAATACGGGAATATCGAATTGACGGTCAACCAAAATCGTCGTACAATCAGTCGGCTCGACGTTTCTCAGAATGGACTTGATTTCAAAAAGACTATAGGGCCTAGAGATATCGTCATTTGTACATCTGGCTCGACCGTTTCGGGATCTAAAATTGGAACAAATGATCTCCCGCCAGCTCGCCATTCAATTTGCGCACGCAAATCTGAACATATGTTGGAGTCTTTCACCATCACAACCGAGGACATTAGACTTATTAAATTAAATATGTTCAGTCTCTATCGCGATGCACGTCTAAGGCTGGTGCAATCATTCATATGATAAATAGTAACTGGGGCTTGAGGCTTTGTCTCCCTGTCCAACCTGTGTTTGCTCACCAGTCGTATGACGTCTATGTCCTCTGGGGCTTTGCGCTCTTTCCCGAAAACGAAGGTGAGCATGTCAAAAGAACAACTTTGTTTGTTCCGGTGCCGAAATCATGTCCAAGATCCTATATTATCTGAATCCGCCTGGCGAGATGGCCACAGCAGCCCTTCAGAGTTCTATTACCATACCGCTCGTGATGCCGAGGATGAGCTCGGCATTATTGGCTAGATCCCCCAAAGATCGCCCTTGCATTACACCAGAATCAGCCGTCAATCTCGGCCTAGTTGGACCTTTTGTCGAGACTCCATAGGGGACTTGTCTGGACCAAAGCTAGGGTGTGCACGTGGCAGGAGCGGCTGTATCGCGTCTTATAGGCCTTGAAAGTTGGCCCGAGGAATCTTCGGCCCGTCAATTTTGAGGGTTTTGGTTACTCTGCTGTGGAAGTGATACTATACTGTACTGATACCATGATCGAGGCGTCGTCTGACTTTACCCTTCCTTAACCGGGGGTCTTTCCTTCTATCGACTTCTCCAATTTACCCTTTAGGGTCGTCGGGTAGTAAGCACTAGGGCTACGTCATCTTCTGTGTCGCGTGAAAGGACTTTCTTATTCAGTATGTCTTTCCATTCTATCGTATACTGGATGCAGCTTGTTGGAGTCACGTGACGGCCATGTGGGGCCGCAGGTGATCCTGACCCACAGAACTCAGGATATTGTTAGACAGTAGCTAGTTTTTTTCTCCTCTTCTTTTCTTTCTCTCCAGAGTCTACAATATTAATCCCTTGAGGTTAACATTCATTCCTACATAGCCTGTATTTCATCTGACAGGTTATAAGCCCTTGCTCGTACGACTCCGAGCATCTTTTCGTTGAAATTTTCAACCAATCAGAGTTTTCATTTTTCTTTTGTGGGACGCGTTTTTTCGGCCCGTTCCGTATCTCCACTTTTCGACTATCGATCCTATCATTGATTTTTATTGACGATCTCATTATGAGTTAATATTTTCATCATTCTAATTATCTAGGAAGCTTCGTTTTCCGTAGTCACCTTATCGACGCGACGGACGGTACCGATTCGCGCATTTCTTTCGATCGAGACCGAAGACGGACACTCGACGTATAGTTAAAATAACTAGTTCCTACGATAATAACGATAACGGAGGAGAAGGTTCCTTACGTTCTCTCCCCGCTTCTCGCTAGTAATATAATCCTATTTCTAATAGTTAGTAATAGTAATAACGTGGTCCTATTAGACGGATACGTAGACCTGGCACTTACCCGCGGGTGAACCTGAAGAACCTAACCTGAACCTCCATTTGGGCGGGTCAGGTTCTGGGTTTTGGAACCTGAGGGAGGTTCCATCCGAGGACCGAACCTCATCAGGTTCACCCGCGGGTGAACCTCAGGTTAAACAAACATGACAAACAGCTAAAAAACGTGACTCGGGCTCAGTTGCATAAATTATATAGAAATAGGCTGTATTGCATTGTAACTGTAAACCAAAATTTTTGTACTTTATAGCCTTATAGAAGGACACTGTATGTCTAATATTGCATATTGTAGCTTTATCTTCGATAGGGATTTCAAACATCAGTTTTCTATATTATATCTAGAATATAGGGTTCTTAAGACTTGAACTATTAAACTATATACCTATCCAACAGTCTCGACCTCTTCCGCATTCTGCCTAATACACGCTGCTGCGTATTAGGTAAGGGTAATTCCGAGGTCTCTTCTAGATCCGTAATGTCATCGGTATCAGGGTCTTCCTTATCGTCAGAATTGATAGCCGGCCGCTTTCCAGCGGCAACGGCTAAGAGTAGTGCTACGGCTGGGGTATCAAGGTGTATTTCGATATCTTCCTTAGTATCACTGATAGCTTCGGCATAATGTGTTTTAATATAAAGCTCTTCGGACGTAGCTGCGATCTCTTGCTCTGAAAGATATTCTTAGAGAATCTACCGCTACTCCTCCTTAGTATCAAATCTTGTTATATATATATATAATATAATATTACGGATAGTCTCTAGGCTTAACGACCCCCGGCGATAGTGGCAAATATCCCGGGTAGAGTTAAAAAGACGCTTAACACCGGCACTAGTCGCTAGGATAGACATCACATTACGAGTAATACTTATAAGAATAGGGAACTCCCTCTCATAGTTTCTCTAGAAGATCTAAGCGGATTCATTAATAGTAGCTAAGAAGATTAGTATTATACTTTATATCGAAGACTTCCTTACTTACCACTCTAGAGGTACCTAGTAAGCTCATCCTGCTACGGACTACTAGTTGATCGTTATAAGGAATCGCCCTTAATCATCCTCTCGAGCGCTGATTTAGCTGGGAATAATAAACCATTAGATAGTAATATATTTAATAGTATATAAAGGCGGTATTTCTTAAAAAGGGACTAGAGACTCCGACGGTATTCCTTTTTATAGTCTCTTCCTATATTATCTAGGGCCTAATCACTTATTAAAAAGAACTCCATTTTATTAGATAGATCTAGGATCGTTCTAATAGCATAGAGATCACCTTTAATAAGATCTGTTTAACCGTAGTACTTTGACAGCTTATCTTTTATAGCCTCAAGGGAGGAAAGCATTAGCTGTTTCCAGGCAACTTTCTTACAATAAAGCTAACGTATCGATCTTTTAAGATGATCAAAGAGCCTATTATAAATACTAAAGACAAGATAAATACTCGAGTCATTAGTCTGGCAGACTAGGGTGGTGTATATAAAAAAGGGCTAGAGAATATAAAGTAGATAGTCGATTTGCCGCCACCCCTCCGCACTTAATACAAAATAGGGTTGGTTAAAGAACGAGATAGAATAGTACTCGTCGAATATAGTACGAAGCCTTCTCGCCCGGCGAAGCATAAGAAACGTTAAATTCTATCGCGTATAGACGTCTTGGATTAGGATAAGCTTTTGCCTATTAGACTCGAGCTTCAGAAACCCTTCTTTACGTTAAGGACTTCTATTAATAAAGACTACAAGACCTCGAACCTATAATAATAGTTAGTATATCAAATATATAGAATATTATCTACTAGAAGTATACCTTATTTAGGGTATCGGCGATATCTCGCTTCTACTAACGCGTACGAAGCGATCGAACACGATCCTTAGACCATTATAATTCAGTATTGTTATTTTTTAGCGAGGCCTTGATTTTACCAAGTAATTCAACTAGACTTAATTAGATAATATAAGTAAGGCAGGGCACTTAAATAATCGTTGAATCCGTATTTAGTTATAGTTCCCGGATTAAATCATTGATCGCGGCTACAAGCGTCTTATTATTAGACGTATTATTAGTTATTACCGCTAGTATACGATCTATAATTCTATGCTTCTATAGAATCTAGAGAACAACTTTACCTAGGTTTAAGCTAGAATAAGTTCTAGAAAGTAGCTCGAAACTAAGGAGGACCTCGCGATACTCCTATTCGTTATCTAGGAAGTATCCTATTATAGCTATAAACGCGTTATAGAATAGTGAAGTCTAATAGTTAAGTGCGAGTAATAGCTTTACTCTAGATAGGAGTAATTATAGTGTCTCTTATTAATATTGTAGCACGAAACCCCGGAGGCGCTCGCGAATCACCTTTCTCGATAGAAAGCTAGGTGGCTCGGGTGCTAGCCGTGCGAAGGAAAAGAGATCACGGAATTTTTGATGCTCGACGAATAGAAAGGGTAAATTCGATGTAGTAATAAGATCAAGAAGCATCTACTCCCATACTTATTAGGTAAAGATAGGCGCTAGTCTTTTCTCGGCCTATTTGATAGTAAATTTATTATTAGTATAAATATAGGATTTAGACTATAGAGAATATACCGCGTTACTAAGCAATTATTAGATACTACCAGTACCCCTCTTCGGTAGTTGCTTTCGGCACCTTAGACCGTCAAGATATTTCTATATCGATAACGTTCTAGTATGATTCGTAGTAGGATACGTAAGAACTATACGGCACTTATTACACATAACGCCTAGCTTGCCATCTTCAGCATTTGTAACTTATTGGAACCCTTTCCAGCACTCTACTCGACGATTTGTTAGGTTTGTATCCCAGTTGATCCGTTTCGACTTACTATAGCTAGTATCAAGCCACCACTTCACAAATTCCGCTGTTATTTCGGGTGTATAGATAATAAATTCGTTAATACGATTAGGCTTAATTCGCGGTAGGGTGCTTAGGGCCCGATATACTACGCGAGATTAATAGTCTAGAAGGTCTAGAACTAAGTTAAGTTAGCCTTCGGATAGTATTTAGCTCTAGCTTTCGCGTTAAGATAGTGAATCGTTAGAGAGAAGGTATTAGAGCGCGTCGAATAATAAACTATCCGTAGTATCGAAGCTAGACGACGCGTAGGCGCCGGAGGGCTAAGACATAATAGATTTAGCAAGCTAGTAGAGGGTATAATTGTTAAAGAGGAAGAGAATAAGGAACTCACTTATTAGTTCTTTTGAAAAGATACGCGATATTCCTAGAGGATCGGTTTGACCCTATTCTACGTACTAGAATTAATCTATCGTCTTTTATATCTATCGACCTATATCTAATTGGCTATTATAGTAGATCATTTTAGAAGAGAACCTCACTTACCCGCATAGAACCTAAAAGTTAACCTCATTTATCCGTAAAGAACCTAGAATTTAACCTAACTTACCCGCATAGAACCTAGAGGTTAACCTCGAGTTAGGAAAACCGTCTTGTTGAAATTGGCTAAGTCCAATAATAAGAACCTTTAAACTAGCTTCATAACATATATAGATAATTTAACCCGAATCCTCTAAGACGAATTCATAGAGGGAGGTATAACGATTTAATTGATATAAAAATAACGGGATTTCAACTATATCCTAGTGGTTTTCTTAATAAATTGTAGTTCTGTTGGTGAAGATACACATAGGCTATAGTGTTCAGAATATATATATCTGCATCTTTACATGCAATTTCGCTAGTGACCTCTATTGACCACCTACCACGTCGATATCATCAAATATTACTTATAATTTATTAATAAATGTGCCTTCTATTTACTTCTAAATAATTATTTCTTCATAGTTCACCACGTTAACAGAGTAATCAGATAAATACCGCCAGATCAACGAAACAGCTATAAAAGTTTATGCAGCCAAAAGAGGAAAAGCGTCGAAAAATTATGTATATACAGGTTCATGTAGGTTCATGAGGTTGAACCTCAATGACCCTCCTTGAGGTTAAGGTTAGGTTCAGGTTAAAAAGTTTAGAACCTAACCTCTTGAGGTTAGGTTCAGGTTCTGAGATTTGGAACCTATGGGCGGTTCAAAGCCAGGTCTACGGATACGTATATAGGGGACTAATCTTCCGGAAGTAAAGGAGATTAAGCTTAATAAGGGTATTAAATTAGCTCTTAATAGTAGTAATCTAGTAAGATAGAAACGATAGATTATTAATAGATTAAGTATAGCGCGAATCGATTAGGTCGCTAACTATAATCTTCCTCGTCCTACCGAATTCGATCCTAATTACGATCTATAGAGATACTAGTCGAAGATTTCTAGTAGATAGATTAAAGGTCTTCTAGATTAGAAGATTATTATAACTCTTAAAGGATATATAAATAGTTTCCTAATTTATACCGATTATATACTACGTAAAGTCGAGTCTATTATTCGTAGTACTAGTATTATTAATAACGTAAGATATAAAGTAATTAAATTCGACGAGATAAAGAGATTATACTTTAGTTCTACTAAAGACTATATTAATACCTATTAGACCTAATATAACTAGCTTAGTACGTATAAAGTCGAACCTTACCTATTTAGAGCGTTATTTATAATACTTCGATAACTAGAAGGTAAACTTAAATCGGTTACGTTTACCTACGAGACTTTAAAAGATAAGATACTAGATTCCGTTATAAAGGAGGTTTTTAGCGATATATATAAGATATTAATAATTAAAGTACGCGATATTCCTACTTCGTTATCGTTCGACCTAAAAGCTTCTACTAACGTTACTTAGAATAATAATAATTAACGCGGAGGTAGAATAAGAGATCGAGGCTATAGTAGTAGAGGTCGTAGAGGTAGTTTATATAACTCTAGATCGGATAATAATAATAAAGATAATTAAAATAATTAGAAGGAATAGTATTAAGATATAAAGAATACGCCGCTTAAGGGTAAGTCGATTAACGAATAGGCGGAATAATAACGTAATTAATAGCTATAGTATATAAATAGTTTAGAATATACCTACTATAGATATATTAGATATCCTATTAAGATATATTTTTACCTAATAGAGGATCTACCTATAGAGGGATAGAAGCTATATAGTAATACTTAGTACTATATAATTATACGTAAAAAGAAAGATAAGGCTAGTATTACTCGTACTAATATAGCTCGTTCTTCGGAGGACAACTAGATAATTAATAGTAGTACTTCTAAAACAATTACTAGATATCGTAAGGACTTCTACGAATACTTAATTTATAAGCCTAGTAAGGAGCTATATAGCTATATAAATACTAATAGTAAGATCTAATTAGCAATTAGTTATAATAAGGCGCCGATTTAAATTAAGAATTTAGAAGGTAAGATTAAGATAATTCTTATTAATACCTACTATAATACGGTAACTACCGATCGTCTACTTTTATCTAATACTCTTAAAGCGGATTACGGTATCTATTATAATTTAATTATTTCGAAACTAGTTTATAAGAATAGGAAGGAAGTTAGATTAGTAAAATAGTTTAATAGTTTACCCTAGATTAATAGCCTACTCTATTAAGGAGTGATTCTAGAGAAGATATAATAATAGTCTTCTATTTAAACAACTATTTAAACGACTTACTTCTATAAACCGAATTCTTCTAATTTAGACTCGGATTTAGATAAAGAGTTTAATCGAATTAATAAGTCTATTTCGACTTACGAAATTTATTATCGACTTAGTTATATAAGAAGACTATATATTAAAGCTTCTCTTTCTAATACTATTCTTCTAGAAGAAGGAGACTAGGTTAAACTTTATAATTTTAACTATAAAGCTTATTAACTTAGTAAAGCTAAGAAGTAGATTTCTTAGGATATATAACAACGTATAGAGAAGCTAGGTATAAAGTTTTATATAGATATATAAACTATAAACCTATCTAGACCTTATAGTAAACGTTATTAGGTACTAATTATCGATAACTATACTTAATATACCGAAGGACTATACTTTTAAACTAAGAAGGAGATTATATCTTATATAATTACTTTCTATAAGAGATAGAAGATTCTTCGTAGATATTACCTAGCTTTCTAGCGGATTAACGGAGGAACTAAATTCTATAAGTTCTAGTTATAGATAGAGGAAGAAGGTATAGTTTTTAAAATCACGCCTATCTATATACCTAAACCGAATAGCGTTATAGAGCGTATAGGTAATTATATTAACTAGATTTAATATATAATAAATATAAACGCTAAGCTTCCTAAATAGCTTTAGCCTTACCGAGTAGATACTATAATTTATATTTATAATTATTTAGTTAATCTAAAGACTATAAAAATACCGATTATCTCCTAGTAGGATAGCCTTAGTCTTAGTAAAATAAAGGTTAATTTAAAATATCTTTATATATAGGGTACTATCGTATTTATCTATATTCCGAGGGAGATACGTATTTAATTAGAGAAATTAGCTACTTATATATTTAGAGGATACCTAATTAATTATAAAGGTAAGAATAATTATATCTTTAAGGTATAGAATCCTACTTCGAAGGAGATTGTTTATTTATAAGACGTTACCTTTCCCGATAAACTTAATCTTAACTCTTCTCGATCGGATAACGATCTAAAGAGGGGTATTTTAGCTAGAAAGCCGGTACCTAAGGATCTTAATTTAGATAATAACGCTAGGGCACTTTATAAAGAAGGTAGTCCGTATATTCTAGATTTTATAATTAAGAAAGATAAATAATCTTATAAAGGTCCGAAGGTTATAATTAGACTAAAGCTAGTTCCGTAGGTTTCTATTACTAGTAGATAGCTAGAGATAGTAATTTAGATTTTAAGACCTATAATTTAATAGAAATAAGCTTCTATAGGTCTAGATATACTAGGAAGAGTATAGACTATACTACCTATACTAAAGCTATTAACTAAAATATAAGAGATCGAAGATTAATCTCTACTTTAATAATCGAATTTCCGGAAGTAAGTTAAACTAGCTTACCTTCTATCGCTAAAAAGGTAGGTTATTTAATAGCTAATTTATTAGTTAGTTCCTTAATTAATACGTCGATATCTAGTTCTTTAACTATAGGTTTATAAGACAATTCGACGTTATATAATTAATTATATAGATAGTAGACTGTTACTTCCGCTAGTCCTACTATAGCCTAGAAAATAGGTAGTAGTATCTCCGGTTTTAGAGGCTATTCTAGAGTCTCTAGTTATTTACTAGTTAATTAAGAAGGATAATAATAAAGATAGTAAAGATAGTAAATATAATAGTTTTATTTATTAAGGATAGTATATATAGCGAGCTACTTATAATATAGAAGTTCCTATATAATAAGCTATTCCTACTTCTCCTTAGTATTTACCTAGAGTATTCCGAGAAGATACTTTATAGGAGGTTTCTCTATAGGAGATTTCTTTATAGGAGATTTCTTTATAGGAGGTTTCTTTATAGGAGGTTTCTATATAGGAGGTTTATAATCTTATTATTT